CTCAATATAACTATGTTTTTTAATAAATATAATCTCCTAGATAAGTATATTTCAAATTATTTATCGTAGATAAAATTGTAATTATTAAAAAAACATGGTTGGAATCACTATAATATTAAACTATTAGAGATTTCTCGTCTTTCTAAAAGGTCTCGTCTTGAGAAAAAGTATGATTTGCGCTCTAAGAAAGAATCTTCACGACAACATAAATTCATTTTTGCCGAAATATGGAGGACTGTGCTTAAACAAAATTAAAGTTAAAACGAGGTAACCGGATTGTTTAATTTCTAGAAGATTAATTAAATATATTTACTGAAATTTATTAATACAAAATTAGTTTTTATATTCCTATAAGACTGACTTTTTGACAAGAATCCAATTCAGAATATACTGCAAAACTTTTAATAAAATATAATTAATTTCTTGACGCATAAATACATGAGAAAAATTCATATTGAAAGCGATCACAATAGCGAATTTCAAAATTAAGAAATAAGACTTCAAAAATCAAATGATAATTACATTTTATTAATTAAATAAATAATTAAAAATTTATTAATTAAATATATTAATATCACAATAATATAAAATTGGATAAAAAATTATCGAATTAGTTGGTCACAAATTAAAGATCTTATTGATCACGATTTATTGATCCATCACAAATCAAAATTTTTATAAGTCACAATTTTTTTATTGATCATAAATCATAAATTTTGTAAGTCACGAGTTATTTTACGATCACAAATTATCATATTAATCGATCACATATTATTAAATTAGTTAATCACAATTTACCAAAATTTTGAATCAAGATTCCAAATTTAGTCCCGATCATACATTCTTTTAGTTCACAAATTAACTAATTTATTGATCACCAGCACCCACACTTTTCATCCCACTCCACTGCCACCATCACCATCGGCACTGGCACCCCACCACCACCAACACGGCCATCTCACCACCACTGCAAAACACCAAGAGCAAGATGTAAAATAAAGCGTAAGGGTGCCAATGACAAAGAAAACTGCAAGATCCACCGCAAAAGAGAAACACAAAATGCAGATGATGTGCACCAGATCGCTCCATACTTAAGATGCAGTGGTGATGGGTGCATCTTGCCATTACTTCGAGCGCAATGTCGCCTGCCACCAGATCTCGCCATACTTAAGCAGTGGCTTCGTGTGCAACGACGATGGGGCACTGATGCCCATGAAGCAACGGTATTCGGTGCCGTTACTGAGCCTACTTTTGCCGCGGGAATGGGCGTTGATGGTGTGCAGTAAAGTCGTCGGAGGAATGGAGAAGGGGATGAGAGAGTGAAAAGAAAGAAGATGGAGAGTGAGAAATGACTTCTAGGGTTTGGGATGAAATTGGGTTGGATTGCGTTGGGATGTGGCGGGGTGGATAAATTTTATAATATTATTAAGTGGAAATTATATAAAACCATACTATTAAAATAAACATTTCAAAAATCAAATCCAAGTTTTGTATATTCAAAATCAGAAATTAATTTAATTATTATGAATCAATATATTAATAATATTATTATAAATTAATTTATATTCACAAACCCTACTCTAAAAAGGACCAAGCTTCTTTTCTCTCCCATCATTTTCTCCACCACTATCTCCACTGTCGTCGAGTTGTCGATGCAGCAACTCCTCTTGTGTGAGCGCCGCTGTCGCGACGGCGAGTTGCAGATGAGCGATTTGAAGCGACATCACAGGCGATGGTGTTTGTGTTGTCGCGATTTGTTGTGGTGGCTGTGGTGGTTTGAGTGGTGGCATTTTGTGGTAGTGGAGTGGGCGATTGGGTGAGTAACAGCGTTGCGATGTGTTTGTGCGGTGGTGATTTTGGGTGTGGTGGAGATGATGATTGTGTTGTGGTTGATCTGATGGTTCGGGTGGTTTGTGTAGTGGCGGTGGCGGCGTGGTGGATTAGGTGGTAGGGGCGGTGGCGCCTTCTCCCTTCGTCTCTCCTCCTCTCCCTCTCCCCCAGTACCGTCACTACAGCACCTCGATTGGATCTGCGATGGTGCGGGTGGTCACTGCAGCACCTTGATTTTTTATTTGATCTACTTAGCACGGTGGTCAGCGACGGTGGTTCTTGTTGCAGGTGGTTTTATGTGTGGGAATGACATTGGTGACGCGATCTGGTGTTGGCGGTGGTGCAATGCTTTGAGGCTGTGGTCGGGGTGGGATGGATTGAATGGTTGTAACCAATTATCTACGTGATTGCTATTAATAATTGGATACGTGACCTGATAATTGTGACTGCGACATCTGATTGTGACTCACAATTGATTAAGTTGTGATCGAAAAGTTAATCGTGACCTAAAAATTGTGATTATGACTTCCGATTGTGACTTACTTTTGATTAAATTGTGATTGAAAAAAATAGTCGTGACCAATTAATTCAATAATTTGCAATGAGTAAATAAGTTGTGATCAATAATATTTTTGAATATGTGACCTATAAATTTTGTGAATTTGCATAAAAAATTATCCCGTGACTTATAAAAATTTTGATTTGTGACCAAAAAATAAGTTGTGATCAATAATTTGTAACTAAAAATTAATTCGTGACAAAAAATTATCCCGTGACTTATAAAATAATATGTAACCTATAAAATTTTCGATCTGTGACCAATAATTTAATTAGTTGTGACTAAAGATTAATCTGTGACTAATTAATTTTTTGATTTGTGACCAATGAACAAACTGTGCCCTATAAAATTTTTGAATTGTGATCGTAAAATAATTTGTGACATAACATAAATTTTTTGATTTGTGACCAAAAAATAATAAGTGACTAATTAAATTGTTAATTGTGATCAAATTGCATAGATATGTGACCTAAATATATTTAATTAATAAATTAATTAATTAATTAAATCATAATATATTTTAATAAAAAATCTGATTTTTGAAGTTTGAAACTTGTTTTCTTAATTTTGAAATATATCATACTTCAAAATTTTACTTATAAAATTTTCCCTATTATTAATTGCTGAATTATCACTTGCTTTTTGTTAAATGAACCTTACATCTTAGTTTCGAATTGTTCTCTCTAAAAATTGGCTGGTGTGTAATTTTCAATAAATGCATAGGGTAGAGGTAAAGCAATGGGCTAGGTTTGGGTTCCCATCGTCTTAGCCCGGCCTTGCAGCCTTTGAAACTCAAGATCTAGGCACAACCCAATAGATCTTGACAAAAATTTTCTTATATAATAAAATTATATGATTTTATCTTCTAATTTGTTCATTGTATACAGTAATTAATGCTAATATGTTGATCTCAAAATTTGTCAAGATGCATGGCTAACAAAATTTTGGTCACCATTCCCCAAGTAGGCGTCACTTACACACTAAAACATTTCGCTAGAAGGCAAAAGTCATCGGGGTCGCGAAAAATGTCCGATGATCGTTTGCATTCTGACGATCAAGTTAACGGTTGGACAAGAGATAAAGTGAGTGTAAGAGAGGGTGAAGGTTGTTTGGCTAGGTTTGGAATGACTCACCTTTTGTGAAATGAGTCCAAATTCAAGTCCAAGATGAGATTGTTTAAGTTAACAGGCCAAGTAAAATTGAATAATCAATGTCGAGTCTGCCAATATGGAATCCCTCTATCACGCACATACCATATAATTTATAGATATAACAATATATATTAATCACTCTTTGTTACTTTGTTCGAATATTTCTAACGTAAATCTTTTTAATCACTTTGAACTGTTCATTAGATAAGTGTATTTTATGCATTTATTGACTATATATTGTATAAAATTGGCAATAATTTTCTCTAGTTTTTATTGATTTTAATTTTTTGTTTTATGCCTTTGGAACTAGCGCGAGCTTAGAGTACAATTTGTAGAGAAAAAGCGATAATTGAACTCGAATATAGAACTAGTTAAATTTTGAATGCACTGCGAGGAGATTCATGGACTCAAACCTGGCATACTAAATATTATCACTGGAAAGAAGAATTTGGAGTTCAACCCACTTTACGGATCGTGATTCGGAGTAATATATCGAAAGTTAAGCGTTCGAAGAAAATTACCTTTGTGGCTTTGTTTCCTCCTCAACTGCAAGACCCCATGAATTTTTATTTTTCAAAATTTTTTCTCCCTTTCATAGTGCAAAGAATGAAATTTGCATAACCATAGACGTAGAAAATCAAGAAAAGAAAAAATATAAAATAGATACAGGATTTTGGAGGAGAAAGAAAATTCGAAACATTTGTAGGACAAGAATATTCAAACAAAATTGAAATACATTCAAACTAGATAACAAAAAAACAGTAAAAGAAAATATTCAGACAAGAAGTTAACTGGCAATTCACAACAAAGTATCAACCTCTGGACTCCTAGTTATTTTGGGTCGAGAAACCAGGCCCGGCATCGTGCAATTACACTGTCTTATGTAGTGTTCCAGCAAATTTCAATCCAGTCCAGTCTTACCACATATGGTTTGGTGGAAAAAGATCGGCACCCACTCGTGATTTCAGTTTTATTCCATTATTTATTATTTGAATGTTGATCGATGAAAATTCATTGACAATGAGTAAAAATGTTGTTCAAAGTTACATACTACTTTGAAAAGTTCTCTTTGGTTGATCTAAATATAAATTCCAATACTATTGTTGAACAGAACATTGCTTTTGTTAGAAAAAAAGGTATTTTCAGAAAAAGTGACTGCTTTTACGATGAAAATTCATTGACAATGAGTAAAAATGTTGTTCAAAGTTACATACTACTTTGAAAAGTTCTCTTTGGTTGATCTAAATATAAATTCCAATACTATTGTTGAACAGAACATTGCTTTTGTTAGAAAAAAAGGTATTTTCAGAAAAAGTGACTGCTTTTATTAAATGCCTTTTTTTTTTTTTTTTTTTTTTTAACAAGAGTTGAAAGTAAAATGCACTGCACATGAATAGCTTGACATAGAAAAAGGCAATAATGTACGACATATTTGGCAAGTTGAATTAGACGTTATCCAATAAGCCAACTTAACAAATTTTACATAATTCTCTGATACTGAAACAATAAGAATTTACAAACTCACCATTGCATTCAAGTACTTCTTCAAGATATGAAAAGTCAGTTTCTTGACATGCTTTACGAGTCTCTTCGTATTTAGCTCTTCCTAAGTTTCAACTTTCATTTTCTTATCGATATTGTAAACACGAACTGTGTGTTTTTTACCCCTGAGGTGTGACTTAAAACAATTTTCGTTCATGCAGGGAACATGAAATAACCCACACCACAGCATCTTCGCTCCATCCTCTCCACACAATCTGTTGCTTTCCTCTTTAAGCCAGAGTGTGATTGTGTAATATTTTCGCTTGATCTCAGGCATGGATTCAGGTTGGGAACCTGCTGAAAGTTGATATGGTGTGATCACATTAGCACTGGAAATCAGACCGGGTCTTGGGCCACGACTCAAAGTTGAAGATGGATTATGATGCATTGGAGTTTCAGCTGAATGTAAAACCTAAAATCAGGAATAAGACAGTTAAAAGACATGAAAAAATAGACTAATAGGTAAATTTGACTGACATGAGATACTGAAGGTAAGGAGGATGGTAACAACTTGAATTGAAGATGGCGGTTTTGAGACTGAAACAAATCCTATCTAACCATTGGAACGTGGAGTCCGAGTTCTTGGCCTTGGAAGTTCACTTGAAGATGGAACCTACAGTGGACAAAAACATGAAGCATTAGTCCGAAGTAAATCATATCAGAACACGATATAGTGCCAAAGACGTCAAAAACAAAAAAATCAATCAAACTGGGATTGATATATGGAACAGAGCATTGTAGACAAGCATTTGATGGTGAACTTGATCCTCTCCTGTTATTCAGCATTGGAGATGAACTTGAAAATCTCGGAGATTTAATTGAAGATGACACCTAAAATGAGAAAAAAAGCTAGTTAAAACTATGAGATAGCGATTCTAAAGGAATAAATCAGTCACATGATGGATAAAGGATGAGTCAGGAAACACTTGAGATGTAAACTCTTGGTTGCGACCTTCATCTGAGATTGAACCTCTTAGTACCCCAATCATTGAACTTGGAGACCGACTATGAGATTTCATGACTTCGATTGCAGAATATGGCGCCGAGCACGAGGAATAACTGAGAAAAATAACAACTTCACAAGCAATTAATTGATCCATAGTGCATGTAAAAGCATAATTTTTCTTCGATGAACCACAATAAAATTTCTAATACGTGACATTTACAAATTTAAAAAAAATAATAGTACTCGAGATAGAAACACTTTATCACTGTAGGGAAGTGAAATCATCAACCACCAAGTCGATATACAGGCTCAGTTTACCAAAATCTGAACCAATACCAAAACAAATGACCTAAGAACACTACAAAGGTTTCACCTACGATTGCTAAAACTTTTGCCACTTAGAGAACACCACAAAGGAGAGAAATATCACCAAGATGTATGCACTAAAGAAAATGGCAAAAGGTAAAGGTGATGAAGCCGAGAGAGAGAGCACGCAGGAAGGAGAAAAGAGAGACATCAAATCTTGTTCTTCAAAGTTGTGTGCAAGACCAAAGAATATATATTGGGCCAAGTGACAAAATAAGGTAAGTTAGGTTTAGGTAATGAGTCAAGGTCTAATAACATACAAGTGGACAATAGTGTTTGCCTCAAAACTTGTTAGCCATCCAAGTAGGTGAAAACATGGTCCATGAGCAACACAATTTAATTGGTTGCTTCAAATGGTTCAATCTCTTCTTGGGTTAGGTCGTTACAATTTGGTATTGATTTATCGCTCAGTCATATTGCAATCGTTGACTGATAATTAATAAATGATTTACATCATCATCCGAGAGGTCATTTGACAACAATATGTCCAACAACCTCCACCTTGGTGTCAAAATACCTGCAAAAAAAATGTTTCCCATTAGTGACACCTATAACGAAAGACCAATAAAATTGGAAATAATTTACATGTATCAATGTTTAGAAGTTTCTTGCAACTTCTAAACTTTGTCAGTGGCAGCATCTTCGTGCCCATATTAGAAGGGTTGTAATGTGTGTGGACCTTTTCAAGTCTTACCACCTCTTGAGATACTATATCTCTAATGAAGTCTAACATTAATGTGTTTAGTGCGCTCATGAAAAACGGGGATCTTATATAAATGTATAGACAACTGACTGTTAAAATACACTACCACATAATCATTCAAGACACAGAGTTCATGTAGTAAACCTCTAAGCCATATAGCCTCTTTAATTGTTTCAATAGTAGCAATATACTCATATTTAGTGGTGGATAGTGCAACAATGTGTTGTAACTGTGATTTCCAACTAACACATGAATTAGATAAGATAAACACGTAAGACAAAGTCGACTTCCTATCATCCCTATCTCCTGCATAATCAGCATCTACAAAACCCTTCAATTTTACACCTTCTTTATTAGCACTAAACTTTAAACCTACGTCACTCGTACCCTTCAAGCACCTTAATAGCCACTTTAACGCTTCTCAATGTTCAGGGCCCGGATTAGCCATGTATCTACGAAGAGTACTAATAGCAAAACCTATATTCGATCTAGTGCAAACCATCAAATACATTATAGAACCAATCACATTAGAGTAAGGCACTCTACTCATATATTCTACTTTACGCTCATTGCAATGAGATTGTTCTTTCGATAAAACAAAATGATTAGCAAGAGGCAACGTGACAATTTTGCAATCACTCATATTAAATTTCTTCAACACTTTAGATGTGTATGGAGACTGAAGCAAAAACAAAATAGAATTTGACCTATTTCTCTCTATTTCAATGTCTAGAATTCTTTTAGCCTTACCTAAGTCTTTTGTGTCAAATTCACCACTTAGTTTTGCTTTTATATTATTTATCCACTTAGAGGAAGAATCAATCAAGAGCATGTCGTCCACCTAGAGCAACAAAAACAAATAATTATTATCAACCTCGTTGTGTTGAAAGTGATCAAATTTACTTCTTTGAAACCCTATAGTGAGTACAAAGGAATCAAACATCTTGTACCACTGTCTAGGTGATTATTTTAGGCCATACAGGGATCTTTTCAGAAAACACACGTAATCAGGTCTTAACTTGTCCTTAAAACCTTTGTGTTGATTCATGAAGATTTGTTCGTCAAACTCACCATGTCAGAAGGCAGTTTTTACATCAAGTTGTTCAAGTTCTCAATCAAAATGCACAACCAAGGCAAGCATGACCCTAATAGTGGTATACTTAACAAAGGGTGAGAAAATCTCATTATAATCAACGCTCTCTTTCTGTGTAACCCTTAGCCACTAACCTAACCTTAAACCTTAAGGGTTCCGAGCTACTAGTACATTCCTTAACCTTAAAAACCCATTTGCAATCGATAATCGATTTGTTCTTAGGCCTAGGTACTAACTCCCAAGTTCGATTATTTTCCAATGAACTCATCTCTTCATTCATCGCTTGAAACCACTCTTTAGATTGATCACTACCTATTGCCTCCTCAAAGGTTTTGGGCTCTTTATCGACTAGTTTTTCGTAACTAGCATGGACGAAAGCTAACTCAGATTCAAAATCGAACCTTCTAGGTTATCTCGTTTGGCTCCTCTTTTTATCCCTAGCTAGATTATAATGAGCTAAGAGATTTTCTTCCTCAATGTGTTCTTCTATCACTACTTCGTTACCGTTCTCCACTTCAGGTTCCTGAAGTTGAATCTCCACCTCATTAGGAGTAATTGGGGCACGTGTACTAAGTTTTCCTAACTCCACCTTAAATCGATCTCTCTCTTCACCTGGTTCAGTTTCACTCACAGGTTCGGTTTCTCCTTTAATACACGGCATCTCATTCTCGTTAAATGTGACATCCCTACTCACGATGATTTTAACCCCCTTTTGACTTCTATCCCATAGCATGTATCCCTTAACACCATCGGGATACCCTAGAAAGTCACACTTTCTAGTTCTAGGTTCCAGCTTTCCCTCACTCTGATGAGAAAAGATGGTGCAGCCAAAAGTTCTAAGCATAGAATAATCACTCAATTTACCCGACCATCTCTCATGCGGAGTGTCATCGTTCAATGCAGCAGATGGAGTCAAATTAATCAAATAACAGGCAGTCATAACAGCCTCACCCCAAAAAGATTTGGGAACACTAGAACTTAACATCATGCAACGCACTTTATCAAGTATGGTCCTATTCATTCTTTCGGCTACTCCGTTTTGCTAGGGAGTGTAAGAAACAGTCTTGTTTCTAGTTATACAATTTTCTTTACACATACTATCAAATTCTGTGTTGCAAAATTCTAGGCCGTTATCTGTCATTAAAAATTTGATTTTCTTGCCACTTTGATTTTCCGTTAGTCTCTTCCAGTTATTAAAATTATAAAAAGTCTCAGATTTATCTTTCAATAGATAAACCTACACTTTCCTAGTATAATAATCGATAATAGATAGGAAATACTTATTTTCACCCGATATGGGATTACTGGCTGGACCCCACAGATCAGAATGCACATATTCAAACATGTCTCTAGCCTTATGAATACTCGAGGAGAACGATGTTTTATGATGCTTACCAAGTACGCAGTGATCACATAATAACAAATCTGACATATAGTCATTACCAAAAGCACATTTTTCATTAAGCAGCTTAAGTCCCTTAATACCTACATGTGCAAGTCTATTATGCCATGTGTGTGTGTGATCAATCTTAGCAGAAGAGATAGAGGAGTTCAAATCTCTAATCACTTCCCCAGTAGTGATATAGATATCATTTTTCTTAGCTCCTTTAATGAAGACTAAAGCACCCTTAATCATCTTTAGCATACCATTTCCAATTTTACCAGTGAAGTCATCCTTTTCAAGTCTACCTACTGAAATCAAATTCCTAGACAATTCAAGAATATATCTAACATCCTTTAACATGTACACAAAACCCGTGTTAAATTTTATGTTTATGTCACAAATTCCAGCAATAGAATAGACAAAGTTATCACATAGCACAACATGCCCAGCATTAGATTCATGCAAGTTATCAAATCAATTCTTTTCAGATGTCACATGAAACGATGCACCAGAATCAAGTATTTACTCGTGCATGTGAGAATTGGTAGTTAGATTCAATTCAGTAGTGTATGCAACTGGACTTGTAAGCATATAGACCTCACCATTATCTATTTCAGGCGTAGAGGATAACACATTTACCTCATCTCTCTCCTTAATCTTTAACTTACCATTTTTTTATGACAATCCTTTATAAAATGGCTTGTGTTTCCACAATCATAGTATTTTCTAGCCTTAGTCCTAGATTTTGATCTAGACCTACCCTTGCCCTTCTTTTTCCATCCATTACCACTTGAATCGCTGTCACTTTGATATCCATCATTACTATTTTGCCTAAATTGAGTTCTACCCCGCATCATATGTAACTCATCGCTCCTTTTATCGTGTTTTTTAGCCCTAATTTCCATCTCTTTACTCCTAAGGAAATCTATAACAATTTCAGGTGTCAACGCATCCCTACCATACTTAATGACATTCTTAACTTCCTTATAAGAATCAGGAATTGCATTGAACAAAATTATAGTCGTATAAGTTTCGGACACAACCTCATCACAATTAACTATATCTTGCACCGATATATTAAACACGTCTAAATTATCGTCAAGATCCTTTAAATGATCCATTTTAAAACTGAAAAAATGTTCGAGCAAGTAAAGTTTATTCGGTGTAGATTCAAGTAAATGCAAGTCTTCCAATTTTTTTCAAAGTTCTTTGGTGGTTTTCAGTTCACCCACCTTTCTTAAAATAGCGTCAGACAAGTACAAAATGATTGAGGTATAAGCAAATTCATCGGCTTCTTCTCATTACTCTTTTGAAAAGTCAGTAGAAAAATTTCCTTCGATGTCTTTTGAAACTTTTTGTTGGACTAAAATACCCTTCATTTTTTGTTGCCAAATAGAAAAGTCACCCTTTCCGTTAAAGATCCCCCAATCAAAGTTGTGAGTTGTCATCTTCACACAGCAGTCAAAGAATACACAAAACACAATCAAATCACACAAAGTAGCCCTAGGGTCACAGACAGTATACGTCATTCTAGATTCTCAGGATTTCGTAAGACTCGCGGTCTTAGATCAAGGGAATTTCGAATAGGTAAGGTCACGGTAATTCTAACGGAATTAACACGCAGCGGAAATAAAAAAATGCAACAAAAGGTACCTTTAACAAATAATCAATTTCACGGAAATTATGACACTAAGAGTTAAATACTGATCTAATCAAGAATACAAGTATTCAATCAACCAATTAAGAGAAATTAACCCTAGTTTCAATGGTTGCCAAGCAATGACAACTCTCAATCCTAACGATCACCCCACACGATGATCTGCTAGTGCGAAAAATTTAAAAGTTTCAGCTGATTTACCAGAGCGGACCTATCTGAGTCCGTAACGTGGAGAGATACAAATTTGCTACTTTAGAGCCACAACTATTCACCCTAAAGATTCAGCAAATATAGCAGTTCAG